TGTGTTTTATGCTAATCCCTGTGCTTTCACAGCAGAATTTTCCCCCACTGGATGATTTTACCAGTGAGCAGATTAAGGTGGCAGAAAAATGTGTCTCTGAATTCTAAGCAACTGGCTAATGGGCTTGTGCCCTCCCTCCACCACCCTGTCACTTGTGATGCATGCACGTGTGTGTAGGGGGAGCAGGGGAGGGACGTGAGAGTGGCGCTCAATTTTTTTCCACTTCAGGTCTGTCTTTCATGCGTATCCCTACTGATAAGCATGCACTTAGCACTCATGCATCTTCCTACCATCCTCACCCTGTTGCAGTCTGCATGTACACTGCCTTTCCTCCCTGTTTCATCACATATGCATCTTCCATGGCTTCTTTGAATTTCACCTCTGAGTGAGGAGATGTGTATGCTGCTCCTGCTCCAGAAAGGCATCTTCAGGCAAGAGCATGGTACTGAGGCAGCAGTGGGAAGAGTGAGACAGTATGAAAGATGGCACTGAGTTGTGTGCTCCCCTGGTTTAGGATGAGGTGGTCTGGGACTAAGAGGGCAGTGTCTCACCCACCAATAAATTCCCATTGCTCTAACTGGTAGCTTTCCTGCTGGATGAGAGCTGCAGGGGGAGTGGCGGAGGCATGTTTGCAAGAAAGAATGGTGGTGATGGAGACTTTTTCCTTAGTTCTGAAGGCTGACTGAATGGGAAATGACACTATGTTTGCAATTGGGAAAGGGCATGAGAAGTACTCATCTTAATGCGTGATAGCTCATAAAGCTGATATTTAAAAAAAAATATATAAAAATAAAAGTGGCTGGTGGGAGACTGGTTCTGATGAAAGAGATTTGCATAAACTTTTCCTAGACAGATAAAAAGCACTTTAGGAAATTAAAATAATTCTTCTGTTGCTAAGGGCTGCAAAGTCACTGGAGCTGTAGTGATTAAAGTTAGCCACTAGACACATTGTAGCTCTTGAACACTTTGCATGTTTTAAACTTGTTGAAATAACATTGTGTGGTAAGTGTCCTTTACGTTACCTCTTGTTGTCATTCTGATTAAGACTAAGAAACTGGCTCTGGTACTGTATCTCTCGGTGCCTGAAGATAATTAATTAAATTTAAGACTCACTACATAGTTTGTGTATATGGGTGACTTTTTTTTTTTTTTTTTTTTTTTTTAGGGGTTGTAATATTGGTAGAGAAACTTGTAGCTTGGAAAACTACTCCGTCTGTGAGAGCATCATTTTGCAGTACATTTGCTGCCAATCCAGAAAGTATTTAATTTCTTCTAGATTGGTGTGCCACAGTCAGAGGGGTGTGGGGTTGTGTGTAAATTCGTGACAGTCAGGCTGCGGTATCAGGTGCAGTGGCTGAAGGGGCTGGGCCCTGATGGACAAAACAAGAGTCTTCAGTGGTGCATAATCCTTGCAGTTAGGAAGGACATGCCTGTCCAGTCCATAGGCAGCAAGGTTGTGAAGTCTGTGGTGCAGAATAGAGCACAGCCCAGCTACAGAAACTAGCCTGCTTGGTGTTCAGGCCAGTCTCCAAGAAATAGGGATTTCCAGTACTATTTGCACACTGATCCAGCTACAAAATTTGCAGGTATGTTACAGGAGGCACATGGAGAACAGCTAGGCACCTACCCTGACATGAAGTGCCTCAGTGTGTACATTACAGAATCATATAGTTTGGGTTGGAAGGGACCTTCAAAGGTCAAACGGTCCAACCCCCTGCAATGAGCAGGGACATCTTCCACTAGATCACGTTGCCCAAAACCACATCCAGCCTGGTCTTGAACGTCTTCAGGGATGGTGCATCCATCACCTCTCTGGGCAACCTGTGCCAGTGTTTTACTACCCTCATTGTAAAGACATTTCGTCCTCACATCCAGACTGAATCTCCCCTCTTCCAGTTTAAAACCATCACCCCCTGTCCTGTTGCAGCAGGCTCTGCTGCAGAAGTCTCTCCCCATCTTCCTTATAGGCCCCTTTAAAGAACTGAAAGGCCGCAATAAGGTCTCCCTGGAGTCTTCTCTTCTCCAGGCTGAACAACCCCAACTCTCACAGCCTTTCCTTACAGGAGAGGTGCTCCATCCCTCTCACCATTTTTGCGGTCCTTCTCTGGACCCTTTCTAACAAGTCCGTATCTTTCCTATACTGAGGACCCCAGAGCTGGATGCAGTGCTGCAGGTGGGGTCTCACCAGAGCAGAGTAGAGGGGCAGGACCACCTCCCTCAACCTGCTGGCCACACTCCTTTTGATGCAGCCCAGCATATGGTTGGCTTTCTGGGCTGCGAGCACACACTGCTGGGTCATGTTCATACATCTGTACCCCCAAGTCCTTCTCCTCAGAGGTACTCTCAAGCCCTTCATCCCCCAACCAGTGTTGATACCACGGGTTGCCGGGGCTCAGATGCAGGATCCTGCACTTGGCCCCATTGAAGTGAGACTGGTAACACATAGTGCACCCTGGGCATAGATCTGGCCTTGAGCTCTCTGAAACACTCCCATGGGCCAGAGTTTTCCAGAGAAGCCTGTGATAACAGAAAGGTGAGTACTATTCAGAAAATTTGATGACTGATTTTTTATTTTTGTTTTGGTATTTTTTCGTCTGGTGAAACAGCTGCTGCTGCCATATTGCTTCTCTTAGTGTGAAAAGAGAGTCATAAAGCATGACTCGCTAAAAAAAACAGGTCATGTTTTGTGCAGATCACTAAGGAAACAGCTTACTTGAGTAATAGCATGATTGGTAAGTTTTATAAATAATTGTGTGCTAGTCCTGGCATAATTACCTAATCAATTAGGAATTAAGAGCTATGGTAAGCAGATAATTTATTGAAATGAATTTTTTTTTACTTTCCTGTTATTGGAAACATGTACCTGCCTTTTGAAGCACCGTCCAATGGCTGATAACTTTAGCCTAGGTTAAGCCCTGTTCCACTGGGATAATGAGCAATTAACTGAATTGTGATCAAGTCTTCCGAAGCTTATGCTGCATCCTGACTTGGGGCCCAGGGACCTGTGCAGACTTTTCTCCCAGTAGGGTGGCATGGAGTTTATATATAGAGCATGACAGCAATGTAAGAGCTGTCACAAGCTACTGGAAGTACAATTTGTGAAGATGGGAGTGCATAATTTTCATCTTCCACAACCTAGTTTTGGAAGGGCAATGATTAACTGAGAAAAGGAAGCTGATAAAGAAGATCTGGAAGAATTCCCACTTAAGATGATGCATGTTAACAGGAAGAGATGGCATTTTAAATGTGATGGAAAATATGTAACAGAGCTGTGATAAAACCTAGCATAAATAAGCAGTGTGTTCTTATGATGTTTTCTTTTGTCTCCAAGATAAAACCCCTCAATTTTTACTTACTATGCTTTTACTTCTGTGAGCAAAACATACCAACATGCCAGCACTCTGGCAAACTCAATACCCCTAATGTGTTTCCTCTACTAGACAGGCAATATAAAACACCAATTCCAGTACAAGGAAAAGCATTTTATTTTATTCAAGTGATGACCTTTAGTGAGTTGAGCCATACTGCACAGTTTCAACTTCTGAACAAACTTAATTAAAACTCACTTTGAAGCTTTTAAAAGCAGCAGGAAGATTTAACCATCCTGTTGAGACCCAGAAGGCTGCAACTAGCCTTGCTAATAAAACTTGCATGGCTGATTTCAGCTTCTGGAAATACTTAGTGTATTCCACATCAACAGCATACATACAGAACAGAGTTTAACAAACTATCTGCAGGCAACAGCTTGAGCCAGCTGGCATACACATTTGTTTGAATGGCATAAACCAGATGAACTGTATGAATTATATAAACTGTATCTAGTATTTATTAAGAAAAAGTCACACCTTGGTAATTGACATCACAGTTAGACATGAGAGTAAATCAACAGCTCTGGTGGATGCCGTGGCAGAAGAAATAAAGAAATATCAACGTTTAAAAGATCAAGTTCAGAAATTAATAAATGTCATTACTATAAAATTTCTGGGATTTCCCTTAGGAGTATGTGGCACTAAGGCAATTATGAGCCACTAGCTGGACTAGGACTCCACTTCCTGACAGGAAAAAGTCACTTGTCATTTATCAAATAGGGTGCTTTTTATATCAGTAGATATGGCACATGTATCTGTAAGTAAGTGAGGCATGGTCAAGTGTAAGAAAGGTCTTAATTTGTGTAATGAATTATAAATAAACTGATGAAAGGCAATGTTGTGATTGCTTGGCCACTGCAAGCCAGAGGGGTCTGGTAGTATACAGGGACCACAACAAAACCACCACCAGTTACTGGCCTTTGCTCAGGTGGACAGGCCACCTTTACATAATCCAAAAAAAGGAACATGTATAATTTTATGTATGTTTGATAAACAGCCATAGCTGTGAACTCATGGGTCACTGGCCTAGTGGTTAAGGTTGACAAAACAATGTTAGGATGTTACCTAACCACTTCATATGGGCTTCCAGCACAGATGGCAGCTGGTACATAACAAGCACCTCTACTAGGAAGCAAATTGCTTATGCCAAGAAAAAAAAAGAGAAAAAACCTACAAAAATATCAGTGGAGCTATAGAAATGCACACCAGATGAACAGAGGCACCAACACCAGCCTTGTTCTCCAGTGACATTCAAAGTGCACACTTTCATTAACTGATCTTGCTGCACCTCAGCAAACCAAGGCACAGGGCTGTTCTGCCGTCTCTTTTGTAATCTGAGGTAAAAGAGGCAAATCCATCCTGACTGGTGACAGACTAAAGAGGAGCAACAGGACAGTACTGTACTATGGACTAGTTGCACCTGAGAGCCCAATAAAGGCCAGCTTACAATCTGCTTAATAGGCTTTGTAGAACAAGCTTCCCCTTAGAAGTCTGAGTGTGGAGGTGTAAAAAGAAAACGGATTATCACGCTCTTCCACCCACCTAGTTTGGGAAGAGCAGAGATTATTTTCTCGTGCAGCATGAATGTCTGACAGACAGGAGGTCTCTACAGAGAAATAAACAGAAACCAGCTCAAAGTACAGTTTCCCTGACAACACCAGTAACACTGTGAGGCTGTTCATGCTCTGCTTTCTGGATCCTCCTCATTGCTCAGTTCATCTTTATCTGTGGTGAAAGTACTCAGGTCACCACAGCTTTCCAGGTGAAGCAGTCCAGGATGCTGTCCGGAAGGTAACACGTGGGCATTCAATGGCATGGCTTTCTGGGCAGGTGACAGTGCCTTTAAAAGGGGGGAAAAAAAAAGCAGATCTGTTTTCAGGCTCTTGTTCCATTAAAACAGTTTCTTACCCAACTAGGAAGAAGCCAATTGATTGTAGCGCTGTCTGCTTTTTTCAGAGAATAAGAAAGAGAGCTAAGACTAAAACTGCTGTTTGTCAAGGAGGCTTGGGAAGAGCAATCTCAACTGGGAAGTGAGTGTTGCCTTTTCTTTCTTTTAAGATGCATGAGAATTATCTCACCCCAAACCATGGCATGTCAGGTCTTGCTTAACAGGAACCTAAATGTTGCTTCCTGCCGAAGACACTGGACTGTAATAACCTTTAAGGCAGTATGATGAAATCCTTATGAGAATTTAATTTTTTTTTCCCTAATGTTTCTTCTGTCAAATTTGGTGAGGCTTTTGCTGCCACCAGGCTGCAGGAGGAAAATTCACTTCACCTGCAGAGCCTAAATTACCATCTTTGATGTGTTTTGCACAAGAACCGAAACCAAAACCAGTTGTCACAGCAAATCAGTTGTACCTTGCGTGAATCAACTCATCTATCCAAATGGTCTGTAAGCCACCAGAACATTTATTTGATGAGGTCTGTAATGTCTGAAACTTCTGGTTACTCATTCCATGAATGTAAGCATGTATTTTCTACTTTCTGCTTTTCTCCCTTTAGTTCTAGGACTTAATTTTATCCTGGGAGTCAATCATAAAGAAGTTGCTTCTAGGGGACTTACATAAAAATTTCCTTGTCAGCCTCCATTCTTTCCAGTTTACTATAGTAAATGCTTTACAACACCTCTTCCCTCTCCACTGCCACACTCACTATAAAACAGTCATGTTATTTACAGCTCCTGATTCTACCACAGAAGACCATCTCCTTTAGCTTGTAAATACACATCCATTCAGTCTTCTGAAAACCATCCTGGCTGTGTGACTGATAGAACAAAAGACACCACAGCTGCACAGCCTCTCGCACACTCCCTAAATGAAAATAAAGTACTAAAGAAAACTAATTGGGCTCAAAAACTCTGACACATAAAGCAGAGCAGCAAGTGTAAACCTATACTCACAAATGAAGGTCAACAGGTTTCCACATCACTTGATAACTACAAGTGATAAAACTACCTGCTCAAGGAAGGCGGCACTGGTGATAGCTTCTGCCATATGTTTCTCATCTGATTTTAAAATAGACTTGATATTTTCCACCAATTCGTGTACGTCAGGGCTCATGCTGCAGGAGGACTGCTCTAGGATCCATGCCACGAGCTGTTTTGTGTCTGTGTAAGACTTGTAGTCTATCAAAGATCGGGGTCTTCCCCTCAAAGGTCTTTCTCTCAAACTCTTCCACAAGGTGACAGCAGAGAGTGGTGGTTTTACTTCAGTCTGCGTGGCAGCTTCACAGCTGGGCACTGCCTCTGAAGACAAAGACCAAACAAAGCAAACAATCCACCTGGTTCACAGCACTGTTATTCAGCATGTATCCCCTGAGATTTCAACCCTGGTTCAGCGATGATGCAGCGCACACTGTAACCGTGCAAAACTTAAGAGTCTGGCAAGGTCATGGCAGCATGCAAGGCTTGCTCTGTAGTGCATTTACACTAGAGAAAACACCTGTGAAATAGAGTTGTACATAGCTAGGTTAAGTGTGTATCATAGGTCAAAGGGTCTGGAGGGACATTTCTGGGAGAGCTGCTTGCCAATTTATGTACATCAATTCCTTTCTCTTCTGTTTCTGTTCTGAACAGACCTGGAATGAGCCTTGAGTGTTGAGTTTAATACACAGTTATACAAAGCAGGGTAAGCAATGCTTGAAGGCTTTTATGATCTCTCCCAAACTCTTTGTAACTTTCAGTTATTACCAGTCAAGAGAGCTACTTACAAAATATCTTACTTACAATTTAGATATATATATATACACAAAAGAGATATATATATACACAATTATATAT